GGGGTGAGAGCAATGTGAGAAGCCTCACCCCTTTCCCCCAGGCACACAGCGTCTGCAGATGGCTTTTCTCAGCACCATATGTTACCTAGTCCTGCCTTAGATCTAACTTGTTTTGGGTTAAACACTGCCTTTCCCCAGAGAATATCAGTCAAATGAATAAATTACTAGCAGTTGGATTCTTATTACTGCAAATTAGCCTCAGCATAAAATGACAAGATCAGAGCCAGGCTTCTGTATGTCCATACAAAGCACCTGTTAACGCTCCATTGAAAAAGTCACTGAGGAGGGAAGTTGGGTTTCTCTCTGCTGTCTGCAGCAACAAAGCTTTATTGTCAGATTATTGATACCTCTTCTGACAGCAACTTTCAGTCTCCACACTAGCGCCATTTTTAATCCATTAACAATGAATCAAAGTCTCCTTGTTTGGAACTCTCCCAGTGAGGAATGTGGCCAGTGTGGAGGGTAGGGGGAAGAGAACCTGGCAGGGTAGGTGTCAAATATGCAATATCACCAAAAGCAAATTAATCTGTTACACTTTAACCTACAGCAGTTCAGCTCTTGACTTGTGATCAGAAAAGCTAGAGAAAGGCCCTCTTAGGTGAAGTAAGGATTTTGTGCTATCAAAATGAATTCAAGATGGAAAGGTTTTGTTAGTGATAAGGTTGCATTTTAGATTCTATTCAATTCAAAAAGGGGAAAAAAAGGATTAGTTGGTCATCCCAGGCCGGGCACTGAGGGACTGCTGGACAGTGGGGTTGAGGAGTGGGACCGACTCATCTTTCCTATGCTGCATATAGTGAAGAACAACGTGATAGTGGCTAGGACGTTGGTGTCCTTAGCACTAAATCTGACCATCGAAGACCTGTAAAACACTCTATTCTATTTATTACACTGTTTATGTACTCTGCCTACTCCCTTGCCCTAGCCACCTTGTCTTGTCTTTAGGCTCGCAAGGACTGTGGCTGGGACTGTCGTTAACAATATGTCTGTACAATGGTTGTGGCTTTTAGATTTTTACCTGACAGAACATGTTAAATAATAGCCCATGAAATCTTTACAAGGGAGCCTGACTATACACAATATGCCAAATACACCAAGACTTTTTGATTTTGCATCAAAGATGCTCAATGCCCGATTTAGAGGACAGGGCTCTTTCATAGTGTAGAACCCAGTTGCTGGTGGAGATTCTCAGGATCCAATCAGCCAACTGAAATCAACCTACCAACATCCATTCCCAACATTACCAAAACTGTAGCCAGTGCCAAGTGGTCCCTTTTCCTGTTCAAGTCAGGTGCTGAAGCAGTAATGTAACAGCCAGGAACTTACACGAAGACAGTTGCAAACTGTGAATGCTTGATTTATTAAGTGTTTGCACTAGCACAGTTTTGCTAATATTGCAAAATTAAAAGAAAAAAGAGATTTGGCAGTTGTGCTAAAGTTGTCCATAGGTCTGAAACTGGCACTTATCCAAACATAACAAGACAGTCCACAGATGTAATACATTTAATTGAGTTTTATACACTAATCATTTTGCATTACTCTGGCAGCTCCTAAATATAGTTAGAGTCCAGCTTTGACTGCAGAATAATACCTTTTTTAAATTAAAAATAAAATGAAGTCTCCTCCGTTCAAAACAGTCTTTTGGGGTTCACATGCATGTCAGAGAGCACTCAGTTGAACCCTATTCAAATTGCCTTACTTACATCATAATCTTCTCTAATCAAATACACAAGCCTTCCTACTAATATTCTTATAGCTCAGTTAGGCTGTGTCTACACCACAAGATTATTTCAAACTAAGTTATTTAGAAATGATAACTCCCAAAATAACTATTTTGAAATAAGCTTATTCCTCTTCACAAGCAGGAGTTATTATTTTGAAATAACAAGCCTATTCAAAATAACAGGATTGGTAGTGTGGACGCTCGCCTCGTTATTTCCAAATAAGGGGAGTTATTTTGAAATAAGTCACCAGTGTAGACATACTCTTATGGCCCCATCTAAGTAAATGGGATCTAGCCTCCAAACAGTAAAAAGAGAAACAACATTGCCCATATGGGAGAATTTTTAGAATGCATTTTTCTCATGTTAACCCATCTCTTTAGTATCTTACTCGTATATGTCCACAGCACTGGCCCAACTAGTCTCACATCAAAGTCCAGCTGCCACTGACTCCAACAGGAGCCAAGTTATGCCAAAACTGAACCCTCTTAAAATCCCATCCTAAAAGCCATATTATAGTTTTAAGAATCACATACTGACAAAGTGTGCATAACACAATGGCTACGTCTAGACTGCATCCCTTTTTCATAAAAGGGATGCAAATTAAACGTATCGCAATTGCTAATGAAGCGGGGAATTAAATCTTCCCCGCTTCATTAGCATAAAAATGGCTGCCGCTTTTTTCAGCACGGAGCATTGCCGGAAAAAAGCGCCAGTCTAGACGCGGATCTTTCGGAAAATAAAGTCTTTTCCAAAAGATCCCTTATCCTTTATTTTAAGAGGGATAAGGGACTTTTTTCCGGCAAAGCTCCATGCCGAAAAAAAGCGGCAGCCATTTTTATGCTAATGAAGCGGGGGAGATTTAAATCCCCGCTTGATTAGCAATTGCAATACGTCTAATTTGCATCCCTTTTACGAAAAAGGGATGCAATCTAGACGTAGCCAATGGCTTTGACTTGGGGAAAAAATAAGCCTCAGATGGTATCATACACTCCCACAACGGTAGGCAACAAGACCAACACAGAAGCTACCCTCTAAAAGGGGGAGAAGAAAGAAGACAAAGAAAATCACACAAATAGCAGATGTCCTCAGCAATAAGCCACTAGATAAGTGGCAACTCTAGCTAAGCTTGAATGATGTTCTATTGCCCCTACTGCACAAAGCATAAGGCCCTTTAAAACAAGGTTTGTTGAGAATATGTTGATTCATCTGTCTGCAGCCCTCACTTTTTATAATAACACAAAACAGCAGCAAAACAAAATGGACAAAAAGAAACAATACAAAGATCTCTCTCAGTAAGTGTCTCATATGATACCACTCTTAGCAACAGAATGTTTATACAGCATCAGCTGAAGAAAGCAATGTTTGCACAAAACTAAGGAAAGCGTAAAGAGAAAATGAAGCTCTCAATCTAACAAGGTAAAGTTATATTATCAGAGTTTTCATATAACCTAGACAGAAAACAGTCCATAACTTACAATAAACAATGTATTTGCCCAATTCTAAGAAACACTTGTAAATTTAAGCTTCTTGAAATGCCAACAGACTCTTTTGCCTTCCTTAAAAGGCTTCATCAGCATCAGGGAATAAAGCTGCTGACTTGACCTAAGGGGGTTACAGGTTAATCTATTCTGACCTTATCTTTATTCCATAACGATACTGAAAGATCACTTGAATCACTCACCAGCATTCAACAATGCCGACGTATTTCCCTGCTTTACTACAGTGCTGCTCAAAAGGGCCTTGCTACTGGATTTTAAAGCCGTGTGGAATACTGAAGAATTTTCGAAGACTAACTGTGAAATAAAGCAAAATGCCATGTCTCTCATGGTGTCCCCCTCCTGCTCTCACCTTTCTTCAACTAGTAACATCTAAAAAAGTAAAGGCAAACTTTTAGTTTATAATTTGACTCTTTTTAAGCTGTCAGCATGTTTTATGATTATACTTTAAAACAGAGGTTTTCAAGCTTTTTAATTTTCAGATCCCTAAAAATTTTCAGATGGAGAACAGACCTCTTGGAAAATTTCAGACAACATGTTGATCCCCTGGAATTCACAGACCATAGGCTGAAAACAACTGCTTTAAGAGGTTTACAATTTTTTTATTTCTTTTAAATTCTCTTTCCCCACCCAAAGGCTGTATCTAGACAAGAGATCTACAAACCTGCTGGTAATGCCCAGTATACACGACAATGCTAATTATATTAATCAAATTAATCCTGATCTAATTTGGTATATTTTAAGTTCTCTTAAAGGCTTAATCCTGAAAGGTGCTGAGTGCTCAGAAACAGAGCACTTAAGTATGGCTTGTTTTTAAGCATAGAAATCAATGGGCCCACTCACCTGTTTAAAGTGAATCCTGTGTTTAAGTATTTTGTTGGACTGTCTGCAGAATTCTCAGCAGTTTGCAGTATAAAGTCTTACACAAGCATTTGATTTACCTTAGTAATACTGTGTCTAGAAGACACTAGCCCAAACGTAGCAATCACTTGAAGAAAGGCAATTCTACCCATTATCATCATGATAATGTAGAGCCTGGAAGATAATCTTTCAAGTATCTATTCTTCTATGCATTCACATTCACCATGTGTGCCACGACTCTTCAAGAAGAGATCAGGCTTCAAGAGACTTCATTGTTTGTGAAACATTTTAAGGCATTAGTTAATTATAGTTCTCTCTCTGAACTGCATCAGTGATAGTGCCCACTCTTTAACATCCAGGAAGAAAATCATTTTATTCTGCTTTCTGGACTTCTACATTCCTTGGCATTGATTGGGAGAATATAGATACAAATGCTTGCAGTATTGTTGTACCTATGTTGGTTCCAGGATATTAGACACACAAAATGGGTGAGGTAATATCTTTTATTGTACCGATGTTGTGAAAGAGACAAACTTTTGAGCTACCGAGCTCTTTTTCAGGTCTTAGTACCTATCTCTATGTATGCCTTTGAAAGTCCCAGTCTGAGTCTTTTTATAAACCTAGAAGGTAGGCCTTAGATCAGTTAAATACTTAGGCATGTGATTAAATCTATTTCTAGTTAATAGAGAATTTAAGCAAACACTTAAAATAACACACATACCCAAGTGTTCTCCCAAATAGGGATGTTTTCCTGAATCAAATCTTTAGAACTGAGGCACAAACCATGACCTAGTTTCTTGCAAAAATAATAAAAACAAGCGAGAAAAGCTTGCCCACAATTGTACAGTAGAATCAATATATTTTCTACAACTTTTGAACTCTTATTTTGTTGGGTCATTAAGTTTCATGTGTTTCCTACCTTGAAAAGCTGTGATATGACCAACTATCATATATTTCAATTCAAAGTTCAAGGCCTGGATGGTCTGAGTCCTTTCTCTCCGAACAGCTGTCTGGTAACTTTCTTCCATCTTTTTCGTGCAACAGGTTGGTGCTCTGTGTTGACAAATCTGCAAATCCGATTCTTTTGAAAAATAAAACCAGAAATTTAAAAATTAAAACGACCTTCTAAATAAATACAAAGTCAAAGAAAACATTTCTTTTATAGTCAGATTAATAACCTAAGGGGATGTCCTACAATAGACAAAAACCGTCAGGAACGAACATTGAAATTGAGGTTACACTGATGATAATTTATATTTTAGTTAGCTATAATTTATATTTTATGTCAGTGTCAACTAGGTCTGGATATCTTCATAATGCCATTGTGATTCCCACTCTATTCCATATCACTCTGACCCTGCTTGTCAGAGATTCCATCACTGGTCAATGCCGAATGTCAGGATAAAGCAGTAAAATAAATAAATAAAAACAAGACATAACAATAGAATAAACAATAAGCATAAATATCACCTGGTCTAAAATATTGAGAGCCAAATGATATGCTAGCGATACCTTAAACCCACTACATTTAAAGGAGCAGCATTTCCAATGGAAACCATGGAACACAAAGCATTAGCCCAGAAGTGTGAAATGCACGTGTCAAACTCCGCTAGGAGTTCTGTGGCCTATAGGTGCTACTGTAATATAAACAAGATTACCTATTTTTAATCACAATCTTATATTGAAAATTCTCCTTACTAACAAAAAAATATTTTGGGAAAGTTTTATTTAAATAAAATGTAACTTTAAATCCTTCCCTACTTTACAATGCAATGGAACTGAAGTCACATTTGCTTTGTAACCACAGAGAAAACCTGAGTCATCAGATTTTGTATAAAATTACAGGTTCTTCTGGATGATACCTCTCTGAATATTCTTGTGTTTTTTATGGAACTTCAGTATTCCTGATTATGGAATTCATACTCTATACAGTCAGGATGGATATTCAGAAGTTTTCACAGTATTTTTTCCACAGTGATAGCAAAAGTCAAAGTCCAATAAAAGGAAAGATTGTGGAACATAATCAAATATCCTGATGATTTAGAGGAAAACCCCCCAGAAACTATCACGAAGAATGGAGAAAAGAGAAGTAACTGAACACACCGAGAAAATACTTGTGCAAAGACAAAAGGTTTAAAAGAAAGAGTGCATACTCTTCTTGAGTATGCAATTTTTAATTAAAGGTTAAGAAAGTCTCTTGAAGAAAAACTGCCTAAAATGAGTGGCCTTAGGAGTTAAAGACATTTTCTTTCAATGTAAAAATAAAACTTCCAGAGGGTGGGCAAATCCTGAGTGCAACCACTTTTAGAAAATGTTGCAAAATCTTCCTTTTAAAAAACAAAAATCAAAACAACCTCTCAACACTGACTCTTCCTTTCTTTTACTCTCCCCTGCCCCCCCCCCAAAAAAAACCTCTATGAAATTAAGAAATATCTAGGAATAAATATCCCAAGCAGACTTTTGACCTCAAAAGGGAGAAGTGCCAGAGACTCCATCAAGTCCATTAGGGATTTGGCTATTGTGATTGATTTTAGTTGTAAGGTGTGATAGATATGGCAATTTCCTGCATATCCTTGGGAGACTTTATTGAATTAAGATTAAGTACCTTTGAGCTCTGCTATATTAAATGTGAAGTTCATATAATATTGTGGGCCAGGACTGCACGTAACCTCTCTAGGGGACAGCTGTGAAGGAAGCACTAGGAGTGTAAAGGACTACACTGAAAATGTTCCAGACAAGAATGGACTTTTAGAAAAATATATATGAAGTGGATCTCCTGGAGAATATCTAGGGACAGGTAAATGCAACATTCTCACATCCGGCTATACAAAAACCCAGTGTTTTGCAGTCCACGATGAGGAGAGGAGTTGCCTGTTTCTGGACACCCAAAGCTCAAGCCGTATAAAGAAACAGCTGAATTCTATGGCCTTGGTTCTAGTTCTGATTCTGAGACAGTCATGAACTTGTAGCCAAGGGCAAACCCAGCTGTAGGCTTTGTAGGCCCAACACATATCATACCCTAAGACCTGAGCTACCGTGGCCTCTGGTATTTTTATTAGCATGTAAGTAAGTTTTTAATATGCTTACACATTAGGAATAACTGTTTGTATTCATGAGGGACCATCGTAGCTATAGATATTACTACTTCATTAGGGGAAGATGAGTAGTTGTGTTCTGGTGATTCTTCATTATCAGAGTTGTTGTCCTTCTCTTCTTCCCCTTTGTCTCCTCAGATGATTTGGGTACTGATGTTGTTGCCAACCTTATGGGCTTTCTGTGCATAAAGACAGGTCTCCCCCCAATCTCACTAAGTCCTGTAGCGATGGGAAAGGGGCGAAATCGGCAGGTGTAAGATGACACTGGCAGCCGCAGTCTCAATCCTGCATGCAGGAGGCTCAGGCGTTAGTGGTCGTCTGATGATGAGCTGGAGACAACATCATCACTCGGCAGCACCCTGAGCGACCAAGCAGCCTTTTTTAGGTACAGCACTGCTTGCTCCACATGGAGAGGGGCCTAGAAAAGGTGGCCTAAACAAAGCTCGTCTCCTTCTCCCCCAGTTGGCTTACCGCGGCCAACGGGCATCTCCATATGCGGTCGAACTATATCAAAGAATCAATGGCGCATCTCACTCGCCTTAAAAGGTGGGAAAGGACTTAAACTCGCATGCTGGAACATCAGAACCATGTTAGACTCAGCCGACAGCACTCGACCTGAGCGACGATCCGCTTTAATTGCACATGAATTCAATAGGCTGGATGTTGATGTCGCCGCACTCAGCGAAATCCGCTTTTCAGAGGAAGGCAGTCTAAGAGAGCATGGCGCAGGTTACACCCTCTACTGGTCAGGCAAACCAGCGACAGAGAGACGCCTTTCAGGTGTCGGCTTCATGATCAGGGACTCCATCGCTATCAAGCTTGTAAGCCTGCCAACCGGCCACTCTGACTGCATCATCTCAATGCGTCTACCACTTCGTGACCAGCAACACACCACACTGTTTAGTGTGTATGCTCCAACTCTCCAGGCAGACCCCGCTGACAAAGACAAGTTTTATTCTGACCTATGCAGCCTTCTGCAGGCTGTTCCAGCTGATGACAAGATTGTCATCCTGGGCAACTTCAACGCCAGAGTGGGCAGAGACTCGGAAACCTGGAAAGGCGTACTTGGAAGGCATGGTGTGGGCAGCTGCAACGATAATGGACGCTTGTTACTTGAACTCTGCGCGGAACAGCAGCTTTCCATTACCAACACTATCTTCCAGCAGAAAGACAGTCTGAAGACAACCTGGATGCACACTCGGTCAAAACACTGGCATCTCATAGACTACATCTTAGTGCGCCAGAGTGATCTGAAAGATGTCCTTCACACCAGGGTATTGCCCAGTGCCAAGTGTCACACAGACCACCGCCTTGTCCGCTGCAAACTCAGCTTCCACTTTGAGCCCAAACCAAGGAAAGGTGGCACCCCGAGGAAGAAGCTCAAAGTCTGCAGCCTTCAGTCTGCCGTTGTTCTGCAAACATCTGAAGATATCCTCGGATTCTCCATGAAGAAGAACAGGGATTGGTTCGATGAGAACAACTTAGAAGTCCAAGAGCTGCTGTCAAAGAAGAGGTCAGCACACCAGGCCCACCTGGCCCAACCATCCTGCCCGCACAAAAAAGCAGCCTTCTGCCTGGAATGCAGCACTTTCCAGCGCAAGCTTCGAGAGATTCAGAACGAGTGGTGGACCACCCTCGCAGTAAGAACTCAGTTTTGTGCTGATACTGGTGACTACAGGGGATTCTACGAAGCTCTAAAAGCGGTATATGGCCCCTCGTACCAAATCCTGAGCCCCTTGCGGAGTGCAGACGGGAAAGAACTGCTCACCGAAAAGGACTCTATCCTGAACCACTGGTCTGAGCACTTCTACACCCTCTTCAATGCTAGCCGCTCAGTCCAAGAACCAGCGATTGACCGCATCCCACAACAACCAGTGAAAACTGAACTGGATGTGGCACCAACATTACAAGAGACTAAGGAAGCCATTGAACAGCTGAAGAGTGGTAAAGCTGCAGGAGTTGATGGCATCCCTCCTTAGGTATGGAAGAATGGAGGCCCAGTACTGTACACCAAACTCCATGAATTCTTCGTCTGCTGCTGGGAGCAGGGTAAACTCCCTCATGACCTCAAGGACGCAGTCATCATCACCCTGTACAAGAACAAAGGGGAGAAGTCAGACTGTTCCAATTATCGCGGCATAACACTTCTGTCCGTCGCCAGCAAAATCCTCGCAAGAGTACTGCTAAATAGACTGGTACCCACGATAGCAGAAGATCACGTCCCAGAGACACAGTGTGGCTTCAGAGCCAACCGGGGAACCACAGACATGGTGTTTGTCCTGAGGCAGATTCAGGAGAAGTGCCGGGAGCAAAACAAAGCGTTGTACGTCACCTTTGTGGACCTGACAAAAGCGTTTGACACCGTGAGCAGGCAGGGACTTTGGAAAATCCTGGAAAAACTAGGCTGCCCACCAAAGTTCCTCACCATGATCATCCAGCTTCATGAAGACTAGCTTGGACAAGTCAGACATAGCAGCGACCTCTCGCAGCCTTTCCCTATTGCAAACGGCATGAAACAGGGCTGTGTTCCTGCTCCCACACTGTTTACCATTTTGTTCAGCATGATGCTCCAGCAGGTCACAGAGGACCTCGATGACGCTGATGGCATATACATCCATTTTCGTCTCAACGGGAGCGTGTTCAATCTGAGGCGTTTGCAGGCCCACACAAAGACCATGGAGAAACTGATCAGGGAGCTTCTGTTTGCTGACAATGCCGCCCTTCTTGCTCACACAGAGGCAGCTATGCAGCGAATTACGTCTTGTTTCGCAAAAACTGCTCAGATCTTTGGTCTTGAAGTCAGCCTGAAGAAGACTGAAGTTCTTCATCAGCCCGCACCCCACGAGGAGCACAATCCACCAAGCATCTTCACTGAACAAACAGAACTGAAAGTTGTCCACCAGTTCAGCTACTTGGGGTGCGTGATCTCGTCTGATGCCAAGATCGACAAAGAAGTCGATAACAGGCTGGCCAAGGCAAATAGTGC